GGTTCTGACTTGGTATATGGAAAAACTTATTCACCATGAGGATGGCGAGGTAGCAGAGCATGTGGCCAGGAGAGGTTGTGCCATCTTCTTCCTTGGAGTTTTCGCAAGACCTAAGCCTTGAGCAACCTGGTCTGACCTCACAGGTGACCCTGCTATGAGCAGGAGGTTGGACTGGAGGTCTCCTGAGAACCCTTCCCACCTTAATTATTCTCTGATTCTCCAATACTCTTTTCCTGTACTCTCTTTCTCACTATTTCTCTTAGAATATCACATTATTTTAAAATTCAGTACACAATAATCAAACAGAATGAGCTGAAATAATGTTAACTCAATACTGGATAACACCAAAACTCTTTTCTCCCTCTAAATCAGCCAAACCCCTCCCTGTGGGCAACTACTTCACTGACCCAGTGACATCAGCCATGGTATTTCTATTGCTGTGGACACGTGCTTACCACTCATACTCAAAAACATTTGTGGTACTTTATAAACATGCCTGGGAGCCGGGAAAGGAGAGGATTAGAAACATGCAGGTTTTAGCATCTGGAATTTATCATGATTAAAAGCTCCGATGTGATGGTAGCCAACAACAGGAGAAAAAATAAACAGAAAAAACCTACGGGATTGGTCCGTCACACTAGGGAACGCACTTCACCCTGCAACGAGGGGGCATTCACAATCAGTGTAATCAAACTATTCCTCATAAGCAAAATGTAAGGCAACCTTCCCTCTACTATTCATTCCCAATTCAGAAGTGGAAAAAACAACTGGTGTATCTTAAGTGCTGCTGGCATCTGTATACAGAGGAGGTGGTTTTGCAATCTAATGCATTCACTTTGTCATGATTTACATTACTGCCAAGTAAGAGAAATATCTTGACCGTCTCTTCCGCCAACCATCAGCACTTCAGGTACATCTAAAATAAGACTAAGCTGGCTTATTTAAGTGAGAGTAGAGGATCAGGGTCAAGTCTGTTGAGACAGCTTTAATTCTGAACTCCTTTCTGTGCATCTGCACAAGGAGATGTGTGATATAATTCTTTAAGCGAAGTCGGGGATAATTTGGCTCCCTGCTTTTCAAAAGTATAAGAATTAGACTCCAATGACTAATTCCTTTCTCCACTTTCTATTTGTTTACTTATTTTCCCAGGCCACATAAATAAATGTTTTGCTGAAGCAGCAGAAAAGTATCTAACTGACAATATCTTGTGACTGAGGCAACTAGGACACAGAGAAATGGTTGGTTTGGTTAGTGATGTAAGTTAAGAGCAGCTTTGGAAGTTCTCTGTATCAACAGTAGAAGGCCTATGTATGTGTCTCAAATTCCTGGGAAGCTTTCCAGGATGACTTCTGGTCTGAAATAAGCAGTATCTTAAGTTAACAGATTCTCACAGCAGAGGTAGAAAAGTTTGGAAAGTGATCGATTCCTCGGTCTAGCCTTAAGAAATGGACTTTTATTTGGAAGAAGCAAGCTTGAAATACACTAAAGCTTACTGCTGATCTATGAAGCCTCAAACAATTCTGTCCACTGGAAAAATAATTTTAAAACGTACTAATACCATTAACTACTTGGACAGAGAGATCTATCATTAGTTCTGTAAGAGACCTCCAACCTTTGCCCTAGCTGTTAACACAGAAAGCATAACCAACAAGTTTTAAGAAAGCTTTGAGCAACATCTCTAACAGCTTTTTCTTTTTAAAATAATTACACTGGAAGACAGATTGAATCAAAAACTAAAAAAAAAAACCCTCAAGCTCCAAAAGAAGAACAGTCATATCACTGCAAGTTTTACCCCCCAATCTACCATGAATTTCCAGTACACTTATTTTGGCGCACTGATTTCTTATCCCATGTTCCTCTTGCTTAGCAGACACCATCTTATCTGTCTTTGGACGGCTGAAATAGAGCCTTTACAGGACAGATTAACTCAGCTTTCTTGCCTTTAAACTTCTGATAAAAGCAAACAACCATTTTATGTGATAGTCCACCTTAGACTTCTGTTACCCTGCACAACCAGAAGAGAAGCAGGCACCTTTGAGGACATGCCTACCCAGAATATAAAGCATATGGACATGCCAGTCCAGGGATGCCTTGGTCCAAGCATGCCACACTAGATTTGTGAATAGACACAGTGCACTGTATTTCTGATCTGACAAGCCAACCTTTTCATTATAATGCAAAATGTCTCCAAGAGAGACGCGACATACGGTCAGCATGGGACTGAAATCCCAGGGAAATCACTAAAAAGGATTGCATTGCTGGGTTTCATAAGTCTCCAAAGATAAGTTTCAAGACCAAAGGACAGACTACATATGTTAACAGGGTAGAAAAAGCTTCTGTCAGAAGGCCAGTGATAGAAAGGAATGGAAGCTATTGCAAACTCATTTGACTAAATATATCTGCTTCTTATGGGCTGTTGCTCCAGAAATTGTATGATAAAATAAAATCCGTTTCACTACAGCGCATCCCAGATCTACATTTGCATAGAGGAGACACTCTCAGGATGAAGTTACATATTATGCCTTTAGATGATTTAACATCTAACCATATGCTAAGGGAGAAGATCCTATTCATGCCTCCTCCCCCACAATATGCAGAATACTCCCTTCCTCCCATTTCACCCGTGTTCGCCAAAAACCTTACCAAGCTAATTCAACACTGACTCCAATGTGCTAAAATGAACAATTTTCTGTGGGATTAGCAAATTGAATTAACTCAGTGAAGGGTCAAACAAGTGCTGAAGCAATAGGACTTCACCTTAAGATATTGAGATTGGTGGTGTGCCTCTCTTCCACCATAGAGGTGTGATAAGAAAACGCATGTAGGAAGCGGCTGGGGATCCTAGACAACAGAAACTGAAACTGCAGAAGTAACAAAAGTAGGAAACCCCAGGCACTGTAGACATCGATGACCTTCCTATAGTTTTGATGCATGCCCCCTTTAAGCCTACTAGGCTCCAATGCACTCAAATACGCTCTCTCCCCTGCCTTCCATATTTCTTCACTTGTCTCACGTCATCTGTCCTCGGAGCTTTACCATCCCCAAATCCTTATTATCTTTCCTTAGCATTTCTTCTCCCCACTTAAACTCATGATCGCAATAACAACAACAGCATGAACCAGACACTCATCACCGTTGCAATAATCACTGACCACACACACCCCACCCCTTTCCCCTTCCTCTTTCCATTTCCTTACACTGTCCAGGAGACTGGCAATCACAGCACATTTACGCAATGACTTGGATAACAGGGTGCTGCAGTAAGTACCACAAAACACACAACTACTACTACCACCAGTCTTCTGACTGACCTGACATAGTCAGTATACAACAGTTTTCCCTTCACATTAAAAGATCTCCCAAACCAGCCAACAACCCACCAACACCATCGACCCTCTTCCTTTCAATGAAGTGCAATTCCCATTAACCTCTTTGACAGACTGGAAAATAAACACACTGCTTTTCTACAAGATAATCCATTTCAGCACACAAAGATGATGATAAACTAGCCACCAAAAGGAAACAAGTTAGAAAGCAACCTTGCATGCATCAGATCTACTGCAGATAGTGAGCCTCCCCTTTGTACCCCTTGCTTTCACAGGGCTCAGTATGTATTTACCTGTGGCACAAAGTGTCCGAGCTAACACCCAATATCCAAGCAGCTACCCCCTTGCGTTTCCAAAGGAGACAAACACTGGCTGCAAAAGCACGTGGGCAGAAACGTAAGCAGAACACCAAGGTGATGATGAACAACGCACTCCTGAATGTCAAGGTACAGTGGGATTTTCATGATTTCATAACATCCCAGCTTCTTTCCCACATTGCAGCAAAACAAAATAAAATGGAGGTGGAACCAAAGTCCTCTTGTTATTAGCATGCAAAGAAAATGAACGTATTTAAATTCACCCATCTGTTCTGGCCAACCATTTATGAGTAATTCTCAACATTTCAGTCACCTGAAAAAAGGACAGTGAGTTCTAGGCACAAACACTTCCTAAGCAGCTAATATTCAAGATCAGATAATTAAACCATACAGTGTTTCATTCTTTCAGTGGGCTTTGTTTCTCGCCCAGCTTCCTGGCTGCTTTTTGTCTCTAGCATTTCTCTCCCATTTCTGGCAGATGAAGTGGAGGTGGAAAAGAAAAGGGAGGAAAGTTCTTGGGTAGCATAAGGATTACAGTAATTTCCAATCCTTCATGACAGCAGAGCTTGCTTGGGGAACTGATGACCTAATGCTGCTACCTACTCCTCCACCCCACTTTTTTTTTTTCCCCCCCCAAACTTATGTTTACATGTGTTTACAATTATAAAGTTATACAACCCAGGGACAAAGTTTAGTACATTTATCTCCTTTCTGCCCCCAAATCCACAGGGAAAATACCTCTCACCCACACATTTCCTCCGCCTTTTTCTTGTTGCTGTGGGCAATTTAAAACAGAAAACTGCAACTCAGAGAGATCCTCAATCATGCACCTACAGGTCATTGACATTTGGTGCACACACAAGCCTGATGTGAATGTAGATGCCACTCATCAAAAGGACAGTTATGCCACGGATAACAAATTATCCCAACTCCCTAAATTAAACAACAGCATTAGCACAGGGACAAACTTACTTTCAAAGCATTCTTGGTATTCTGCCTGACTACCTGCCCTTGTTCAAAACAAAGGGAGAACTGTCCTCACATGGCTCTACTTATGTTTCTTTCCAGTGTTCTGAAATAAGAGCTGTTTAAGATCTTGCATTTTGTTTTCAAAAAGAAAGGTCGCCTGGATTGGATGGCGAAACAAGTCTGTATACTTTTTTTTAATAAGGAGAAAGGGAAAGAAATAGGACATGGGGAAGCAGGGAAAGAAAATCTTCATTTTTAAATTAGAAAAAGTCTCAGAGAAGTTATGGAAGAAGTATAGTTAGTGAAAGAACAAAACTCTAAGAGCCTACAGAATCTAATTCTCTCTTGAGTGCTAGAAAACACAAAAAGGAAAGTGATGACTACTTACATATAATATGTAGGATATAATCCTTCAAAGTACCAGCAATGCTTTTTGGCCTCTGTACACTACAAAAGAACGAACAATATGGTATTAATATTTACATAGGACAATGTACAATTATAAACACAAGCATAAAGTATTTATAAATACTGTGCCTTTGAGCAATTAGAAAAGGTTTATATTCCCAAAGATTTCTCAGTCTCAGTACACACAGCAACTGGGAAGTCAGTTCATGTGAATGGCAGTGTGCCCTGTGAGGGTTCAGATCCCTCACGCAGGGCTTTGTCTGCGGGGGCCCCATAGCTTCCCACGATTCACCAACAAAGTCAGTATATTCGACACAGGCACAGGATCCAACTGCACATGTTCCCTGGCAGAACTGCTGTTTTAAAAGACCACAGAGAACTTAAGTGACTACAACCACGATGGGCTCTTAAGAGACCTCCAAGGCATAACCGGTTTGATGACATTATGCGTACGACTACACAGCAAATTCAATAATTGCAGGGAATTATTCATCTTTCTGGAAGTCTCTGGTGTGCGGAGCCAGTCTCGGAAAGGAGCAGAACAGAGAACCCATCCGTCCCATCTTTTCTTCCTACAGCTTGGAAATATCTCAAGTGTTCATTAAAGTAGCGGGGAAAGGAAACTGCTTTCTGCAGCCCAAGGGTATTGTTCTCTTTTGCAGATTGCCAGCGTATCCTTGTTAAAGGATGGTGACAGGCCGTTTCTCAGCATGTGTGTGCAGGCAACATGGGAAGCGCACATCGTTACAGGCACTGCCAGAGTACAGGCAGCCGCTCGGAACAATAGTGGCGCTTAAAAAAGAAAACCAGATGTCAAGCCCAAACTCCATATACAACGCACAAAATATTTCTGCGTATCCCGCTGACGTCGCTAGCATAAAATGCCATCTTCGCTGCAGACATGGCTCCAGGAGCTCCACTGGCAAGCTACATTATCCGATCGCACACAGCCAGGGCGTTGTGGGACACCCTCCAGGGACACCCTCCACAGAGCGGTGAGGAATATCTTGTTGGAGTTTTAGCAACAATTCCCTCTGCTGCTCACACCTGACACCCGATGCCGGAGAGCTCTCGGCTTGGATCATCCTTCATGTTCACTTGACAGCTCACCTTTAAATAATAGCTCGTATAAGTTTATTAGCTTCCCCGAATCCCAGAATACTAAATGAATCCAGTTAAGACAAAGACAAAGTGTTTTTAGATCCCAGACTCTCTCTCCTCATGAATAAGAAAGGCTGCAAGCTCTTTAATGAGCATCTGATGAGCTAAATCACAGACAGATCAATTACAGCCCATGAAGACAAACTGCTATGGATTAAATTGTTAAGAGCAATATAGGAGATGGGGGAAGGAGGAGGAGAAGGAGGAGGAGAAGACGCTTTTGATGCGTGCGATCAGGCCCTTCCACTAATACAATAGGCTCACACCAGTCTTCAAGATGTACAAGTTTTACCTTCTGTTGAAAGGACTGGAGCATTTTCCTTGGGATAAACACAGCGGAAGCCTCGTTCCCCTCTCAAATTGATGCCATGGTCGAGGCAGTATATGCAGGAGGGCTCTATAGCTGCTGCTAGAGCAAGTGGTGTTCAAAGATCTATCTCCATATTTGCCCCATTCTCGCCCTTCCACCCCTCTCCTTCCAAGCTTTCAACTTCATAACTCTTCCTTCTGAATCTTTTCATCAGCTTGCTGTTTCCTTTTACTCTAAAATTAGAAATATGCCAAGTTTCTCTCTGTAACGCTCTGCAAACATACATGCATCATAGACCCAGCAGGTCTGCTCCTGAGCCAGTGAAAAATGCTTTGGCTCTTTGCCTTTGAGGGCTGTGGATCAGCAGTCCCTGGCTAAAATCCCGCTGCCTACAGGTCGATCCCTTGGGAAGCCTTATTTCAGAGTCCAGCTTGGGGTGTACACTGTTAAATGTTTTTCCTTCCTGCTTCTTAACCAACATGAGTCACCGTTTACCTCAACGCTCTTACAGCCTTCGTCAGACTCAAGCATTTTAATTGATGTTTTCCCAGCAATGCTTCTGAGCACGTGGAGCCTGCGTACCCTTTACAAGTGTAAAGGAGAGATACATATTCAGCGCTCATTCTGCTCACCCTCCTCCCTGTATTTTAGTCTGCTTTACAAGTTCTAAAATGAGTTGGGAAGATTCCTCCTTCCCACATCTCCCAAGCTGTAAGATTTCTGTTTCTGCCTCTTAACAAATCTCTGTTTCAGACAGCCAATATGGTTACTGCTGTCACAAGAAAGGCTCCAGCCTAGGAAAGTTTTGCAAGTAACAGTTCCTTCTAGTTTACAGGGCTCAGATACCAGCACTAAAAATCCTTCGGTGCCCAGACTTTGCTTTTATACGGGCCCTAGAACAACAGGTACCAATCCCGATCCTGCCTTTTTTTAATATCACAGCGCTATGAATAGTGCATGGCAGTTTTTCAGCTCTCCTACACGGGAATGAGGCAAACCAGCAAGTGGACCTCAAATGTAAGCGGCACAGTCAAATCCAACACACACGACATCTTAAACAGATTTACACACGCAGGGTGAACCGCTGTGGTCCCTGCTCAGTTAAAACTCCTACTGATCTCCATGGCAACTTTATGCCAGTAAACCCTGACATAAAGCAGGCGGCTACTAACCACCATCTCTATTGCTGTTTAGCAGACCTCACAGGAATTAACCGCTAAGAATAAGACGAGAATGGCATTGCCTATAAGGATTTGAGCCTCTTTAGCACTCAGGTACCAGAGAGATGAACAGGGTAGTCAGGGTACGGATTAGTTTTTCCCATCCCACACACATCCTCTGAAGCAGGCTATGATCATCTGCCTCTTGCCAAGATCCAAATCACTCTTCTGAGTGGTACTGGCTATGATCATCTGCCCCTTGCCAAGATCCAAATCACTCTTCTGAGTGGTACTGGCCTCGTCATTAAGCTGGTGGAGAGACATACAAGTGTGAGAGGGGACGTACGCCGTCAGCATCAGGCTCTCATCCTCAAAGAGCCTTTGGAGGATGATGTCCTTGTAGTTGTTTGAGACTATTAAACCCTCTAGAAACAACAGCTGGCAGCAACTCACTGCAGTCCACAAAAGAAACACAAAAGGAAGATTACTCATATTACTGCAATACAAAAGGACCTCAGACATCAGGGTTGGTGCCCACTCCGCTAGCTCCTGTACGAAGACAGGCTGTATCTCCAAGTTTCTAACAAGTGTTTGTTCATGTCTTTAAAAACCCATTTACCCATTCACTAATAGCAAAAAAAAGTGTGTTATGGTTTCCAAACTAGGCTTAGGCATGGCCCTGCTGATGCTTTCAACTTTTCTAGAAGGACTCTGCACATTTTGCTTATAAAATTCCTCCTTCTATGTCCTTTAACAATTTGGCACAGCTATAAAACATAAATACAATAATACACTAATTTTTTAAATAAATGATGCAGGTCTAATTAGGTGTGCACATATAATCTTTAGAGAATTAATGGTATGTGAATTAGCCAGATGCTTGAATACATTGTTTAAGACTGCATATTTAGAAAGAGAAAAAAAATCCACAAGACTTGGGGTTTTGTTTGTTTGTTTTTAAATAAATCGGCATCTGTCTTGTAGCCTGTTTTCTCTGACAGACTGCAGCAACACGAACTACAAGCCATCCTTTTTTGCGGCCTCTAAATTCATTCAGATTTCCTTTAAGAAAGGAAACGTGCTTCCTGCCGCAGATTGAAATTGCAAGTGTTACTGCTGCTAGTAAGAACAATGAGAAAAAGAAGTTACTAAAACATTAACCAAAGACTGGGTTTGATCACACCATAAAATACAGAACACAAGTACATATGTATGCACATGGTGTGGGGGAAGACAGAGCAAGCAGCCTGCTCACTGAATGTCGGATGGTACTCTACAGATCATTAGTTATGCTTTGCAGGATTTGCAGAAATACTATCTCTAGAAGGAATATCCTCCACATTACACATCATTATCTTTCAGTCCACAGGATAATAAAGAGAAAACAGTTCTGATCAATTAATTACTCTCTGCAATCAAAAGAGTGGTGGATTCATGCTCAGTGCTATTATTGGAGGTTTGGAAATTAATAATAAAAAAGTAAAAACAATTCCAGCCTCACCTGCAGATGGTAAATACTTTCTAGTATAAGTACAGTCAATTTTTGTACCAATGAAAAAAGCAGCCTGCTGTGGACGGACGTGTTTGTGGAGGGCAGGGGGAGGGCAATTGCTATCTGTATGCTGGAGGGATATTCAGAGCAAGTTAGTAACATCCGCTTAAAGCTAGATTCTGTAGGAGGCACAGGTCTGCTATTGATCACAAAGTCAATGAAACCCTACCAGTTATCAGCAACTGAAGGTGAGGCTCGCTCTTTTTAACCACACAAAAAGCTAGATGCTACACACAATTTCCATTACGTATCACAGTTATAAGGATCCAAATAGGTAGATTTGGAAAAAAGCAAATATTTAACAGAGTGACCCGGCATACTGATGTGACAGAAATGGCTCCTAGTATTCCGAGATGACCCACCTGGTGGGTGTTACCTCCCATTCAGCTGGGTAGAAGCTATATGTTAGTATGATGCAAGTTGATCCAAATGTCATTCTTGTGGCTACAGCCTCTGAGGCTATGCTAGGATTAATTCATAGATGAAGAGAAAGAAAGAGTTAAAAGTATCTAAGACATGGAACAAGACCTCATCATGACCTCAGTTCAGCGGAGGGCTACAAAGATGATCAAGGGACTGGAACATCTCTCTTATGAGGAAAGACTGAGAGGCCTGGGTCTGTTTAGCCTGGAGAAGACTGAGAGGGGATCTCATCAATGCTTATAAATATCTAACAGGCATGTGTCAAGAGGATGTGGCCAGACTCTTTTCAGTGGTGCCTGGCGACAGGACACAGGGCAACGGGCACAAACTGGAATATCGGAAATTCCTTCTCAACATAAGGAAAAACTTCTTTACTTTGAGGGTGACAGAGCACTGGAACATGTGCCCAGAGAGGTTTTGGTGTCTCCTTCTCTGGAGATATTCAAAACCCGCCTGGATGCATTCCTGTCCAACCTGCTCTAGGTGAACCTGCTTTGTCACGGGGGTCAGACTAGATGATCTCCAAAGGTCCCTTCCAACCCCTATGATTCCATGATTTCTGAGCACCACACAATCCTATTCCAACATAAACCCAGAACTCTGTATGCCACACAGCTAGATCAAACTAGTAATTGACGAAATGGGAAGGACAACACCTTTCTGACCATATGGCTCCACAGCATCTGAGAAACAACTGGCTATACCTGCTGCCTCTGTTACAGAAGACTGTCGGGGACTGAGGCAAAAGAAGGATTAAGTGTGGTAGAACTAACAGGGAGGAATAAGCAAGTGCAGCACTGTTCTGGCAGACAATGAAGTTGTGTGAAGCTACTCCCTAGATAAGGAGGTGCTGCTCACAGGGAAGAGAGAATCCCTTCTCAGTGGGAACATGATCTTTTAGAGTATGTGATGGTGTAAACAAGTAAAGTAGAAAATTACTGGCCTTGGTAGAAAAGTATATAAAGAACACACTTGCTTAATAAAGCTGATTTCAATCCTGCATATCGGAGTCCATGCCTTAATCCTCACAGAAGACCTCTTGCAAAACTCACCAGCTCAAACCTCTTCCAATTATACTGGTCACTGCACCTGGAAAGTACTGGATGGAACCCACACAAAAGGATGGGACAGTCTAAAGTGCAACTCCAGACTAAGTAACCAGTTCCAGAAGGCACAGAATCACAATGTTTTATAGGATCTGACCTTTAAATTTGTATCAGTTTTCAGAACACTATCAATTTCAGTGCCTAGACAAGAGCTGAAAGCATTATGAGATACAAGCTGCTCATTAGATATGGTGCGCTGAAATCAGAAGGACTTCTACATGCTGCAAGTTTGAAAGATTGGATTTGCAGAGACAAGAATAGGAGCATACTGCTCTTCCATAGCCAAGAAAAGGGCAAAATATCATCCATTAGAGTTAAAAGACAACATATACTGAAACTGAAAATTGCAGCCTAAGGGTGAAAACAATTTACTACAGAAA